TGAATTAGACGATCTCCTGACCACAATTTCTGCTTTTTCAGAAAGTTCAGGAATTTCGAGAAATCTGCATTTTGATAATCGGGCTTTTCCACAATACGTTAAACGATAATAAAGATTAGGAAAATCTACAGATATAAATCAACAACTTTTCTAAATAAAACAAAATAAAATGCGTATACCAGTTATTAAATTATGTTCCACTGCCTATCCTAATTCCCCACCCACGAAACCCCTATAACCACCGTTTCCGTAGGACAGAATGCTGGGACTAAGGCTTTATAAGGTGCACTACTTAAACTACTGCTGCCCTCTTTTTTACCAAGAAGTTAGCATACGCCGTATTTTAACATTCGGAGTAAGTTTTCTAAAGAGGTAATTGGTGAAGAACTCTCATTAGGATACTGCTACGCTAGACGCCTATAGCCTTTTCACGGTCATTACTGATATTCAGTAGGCCATAGGTCTGTCTTGTACCATCTGAAGCGAGGTATATAAACTTGTTAGAGGTGAGAGCGCGAGACATTCACGCGTTTTGATAGGGATCTTCCTCGGTATCTCCAACTATCCAGCTGGTGGGCAGATAAAAGGGAATCGAGCAAGACTTCCACCACAGTATTCGGGGTGCCACGCGCTTACTATGGCGACATTTTGCGTTTTACCCGGAATGTGTAATACTGGAAATTCTCTGTCCCATTCTTGCAGTATCGACACCCATCTGTTATTGAAAATGATGCTTGTCAGTGACCTCAATATTCGCCAGATATAAATTTGCTGGCTTCTGCGGAAGGCTGTTCTACTCGCTATTCACCATCCATAATTACGCAATATAACCAGAAACCATGTTAAATTACAAGGCCGTTAATCCAGAGTTCAGCAGGACGTCAGTGTTGATGAACTATTCCCTGTAAAATGGATACACAAGAAGTATAGAACTGCGAGCCAAGGAATGAAATTTTATTTTAAAGAGGACGGAAGTTCAAAGTATTGAACCGGTGAGTCAACTTCATTTTAATTTTGCAATACCGTATCGAGACTGTCTGGTTCCGAGTGAGACCACGAAGTGGACAGAGAATTGGCTCGAATTTGGCTAATTAAGTTCAATAGGTTAATCCAAAACGACCGAAGGTCCGCAAAGGGCTTATAATTTTATGCACATTTTATACACATACATCAATACTGCAGAACCTCCGTTTTGATGTTTTAGCATAATGAATGAGGTCCTTGGACGAAACGCCTCCACGCCTTAATGGATAAATAAGTCCCGTAAATTGCCCTTCAAAGACTCCGTACATAGTATATGCGTCCCCACAATGGGCCGCACTACAGATGCACTGAACCAACGCGGAGACCATCTTAGGGCTGGGTTGCGCTCTCATAACAAATACAGCGAAGGCGTGGTCACACGCCTAGGTGCAGGCCACCGCCACACCAGTTACCTTCGTCCAGTCCCACCTCCGGTCTCCTTGACTCTGTTTTAACACTGGGCACAGGTGAGTGAGGGAGAAGAGAGCGCGGTAGATACAACACAAGTCTACTGTCACTTAACATTAATGCACACGTAAGTCACTACGCTTGTCCTTAGTTTGCTGAAGCACGTGGTGGCCCTCGTCAGCTGCGAACGTCGAACTGTCCTATGTTATATCAACTCTAGTTGGTCCAGCAGTAAGCAGGGTTAGCGCAAGCTTTTAGTAGCAAAAGTCAGTGTCTGGAATTCATGGAGACTATTTGTGGATGACAAAATCGCCCCGAGATCCCAATTTTCTGTTATTAATCTGCCAAAATGTCAGCCCGAGTCCGGCGTGCCACGATGATGGTCATCAGCGGATCTTATCCTCGCTTAACTGCCTGACTGACCATGTTGCGACGGTGTCCAACGCTAATTTTGCGTATGTAGTTTGATTTTCGGAATGACAATAGCCTTGGGAAGCCTAAGCCTGTTTGTTGGGCTGGCTGACGAACCTAGGGATTGCGCATGGTGAGACGGTCCCAGGTAAAGACTAGCCATCAAAAAGGCAGGCTGTCAGGTCGGACAAAAGGGCTGTCGAAAAACTTGTGGCGGTGATACTTTCAAGCGTGAGCCGACAGTAATCTGGCAAGTCGGTTATTTCTAAAAAATCAAAGGTTGCCGCCAATAGATGGGGCTTCGGTCGCCGTCCGGCAAAATTCTGAGAGCCAAAGCCGTGCCGCTTAGAACTAAAATTGCATTGATACCGCTCATTTACCCCACGCAACCACACTACAACAGTTTTGGCCAATCGCGTGGTTATAGTCCACGCACTCAGGGCAGACTTACTGAGGGCAACAACTTGCTGTACAACGACAACAAGGACAAGCTGACCCGCAAAGAGGTCCCTGCGTGCTCCCTTAATTCTTGACTCTTTCCACTGTCTACCAGTCTGTTATTTAAGCTTTAGTTGTAAGTATATCGACAGAGGCATGTATAATCCTTCCTGCAGCTGGCAGAAATATGATTTCCCAATCAAGACATGCTGTTTATCGCAAATTGGATGACTTCAGATGGGACATCGTAGCCGCTGCAAAGTGGAGCGACTTTGCCAAGAAATAGCTGCAGTTGGCGGCTGCACGTTCACCGATCGGTTACGGAACTCACTCGGCCTGTTCCGTCTTGGGGCTCATTCTCGAGGCCCACCAGCAGTCACACAACGGCTACGATTATAGGTAGATATTGCAGGCAAAGATAAGAGAGACTGGAATGACAATTTCTGGCTTACTAACTTTCTGCAGGCAGCAAACGCCAACCCCAAGTGGCACACATGTGGCTCGACCCCGCGGATGGTACCACACACGGGTTGGCTGACGACGGCTAATAAATTAGAAATGGTCATTGTAGTCTCTCTTGCCTTTGATAGCAATGGAGTTCCCTGCTGATATTTGACCCCTCTCAAGTAACAACGCATACGGCTGATTAGTGGGGTGGGGTGGTGGTGAATTACACATTAAGTTGCTTGTGGTGGAGCACGTGACTGTGACATCTAAGTCACTCCTGTCCTACATTCATCGCCTCCCACTAGCAGAGTAGGGTTACGATAACGTGAGATGGTCGTGGAAACCGTTCCCAATTTGACATTAAGTCCCCATCTTCCATTTTCGGCAT